CCTTTCCTCATAAGACCTGCCCTCCAGTCCAGGCAGCATCCTGGTAAATCTCCTCTGCACCCTTTCTAAAGCTTTCACATTTTTCCTATAATGAGGTGACCAGAATTGAAAACAATATTCCAAGTGTGGTCTAACCAGGGTTTTATAGAGCTGCAGCATAACCTCACAGCTCTTAAACTCAATTCCCCTGCCAATGAAAGCCAACACACCATACGCCTTCTTTACAACCCTATCAACTTGGGTAGCAACTTTGACGGATCTATGGATGTGGACCCCAAGATCCCTCTGTTCCTCCACGCTGCCGAGAATCCTGCCATTAACCCTGTATTCTGCATTCAAATTCGACCTTCCAAAATGAATCACAAAACAAAAGAAGTCACAATGATGCCACCCAAAGGCTGGAGGAACAGCACTTCATATTTCGCTTGGGAACCCTGCAGCCCAACGGTCTCAATGTGGACTTCACAAGCTTCAAAATCTCCCCGCTCCCGACCTCATCCCAAGACCAGCCCAGTTTGTCCTTGCCTCCTTGACCTGTCCATCTTTTCTCCCATCTATCCGCTCCTCTCACCTCATTGATCAACCCCCAACACCACTTCCTACCTACTAGCCTCATCCCCACCTCCTTGACCTGTCCGTCTTCCCTGCCACCTACCCGCCCCTCCCTCCCAACTGACCAACCTCCATCCCAACTCCCTATCTACACTCACCTTTACTGGCTCCATCCCCGCCTCCTTGACCTGTCCGTCTTCTCTCCACCTATCTGCTCCTTTATCCACCTTCCATCATCGCCTCCCCCTCTATCTATTTATTTCAGAGTCACCTTCCCCTCCCCCATTTCTGAAGAAGGATCCAGACTCAAAACTTCAGCTTTCCTGCTCCTCTGATGCTGCTTGGTCTGCTGTGTTCATCCAGCTCTACACCTTGTTGTCTCAGACTCCAGCATCGGCAGTTCCCACTATCTCTGAGTTATTACGAAAGAAGTCTATCTCTGATTTAAAATTAACAACTGATCCAGCATCAATTGCCATTTTTGGAAGAGAGTTCCAAACATCTGCTACCCTGTGCATGTAGAAGTGCTTCCTAACATCTCTCCTGAATGGTCTGGCCCTAATTCTCAGACTATGCCCCCTAAGTATAGAATTCCCAACTAGTGGAAATAGTTTATCTGCCCTGCTTTTGTCTGTTAACGTTCTAATGGCTTTGATCAGATCACCCCTTAACCTTGTAAATTCTAGAGAAAATAGGCCTAATTTGTGAAATCCCTCCTCATAACCTAACCTCTGAAGCCTAGGAATCATTCTTAGAAATCTAACATATACTCCCTCCAAGGCCAATTTATCTTTCCTAAGGTGTGGTGCCCAGATCTGCTCACAGTATTCCAAGTGAAATCTGACCGGGGTTTTATATAACTGCAGCATTACTTCTGCATCCTTGTAGTCCAGTCCACCAGATATAAAGGCCAACATTCTGTTACTTTTCTTGATTTTTTTTCCACCTGCTTGTGACATTTTAAAGATCTATATACCTGAACCCCCAGATCTCTTTGGACGTCCTTTGTATTTAACTTCATACCATCGAACAAATATCCTGATCTATCCTTTTTTGGTCCAAAATGGATAACCTCAAACTTGCTTACTTTGAACTCCATTTGCCGCATTTTTGCCTATTTACTTAATCGATCAATATTCCTCCATCAGTTTATGTTATCAACTACATTATCTGCAATATTGCCTAACATTGTGTCATCAACAAATTTGGATATATGACTTTCTATGTCATTATCCAAGTTGTCAATAAATAATGCGAGTAACTGAGGCCTTAACACTAATCTTTGTGGGACACCACCGGTCATATTCTGCCAATTTGAGTACTATCCATTATCCTTACTTTGTGTCGCCTATCACCTAGCCAATTTTTAAGCTATATGAGTAATTTGCCCTCAATGGCATGGGCTTCTACCTTAGTTAGCAGTTGCTTATGTGGGACTTTATCAAATGTCTTTTGGAAGTCCATATCAACAACACAATTGACTTTACACACTACCTTTCCAAAAAAACTCAATGAGGTTTGTCAAGCAGGATCTACCAGTCATGAATCCATGCTGACTGTCCCTGATTAATGGAAAAATCCCATGCTTGATTATAGTTTCCAACAATTTTCCCACCAAAGATGCTAGACCAATTTGTCTGTAATTCCCTGATTTTCTCCTTTCATCCTTCTCAAAAGGTACAGTGGCTCAGTGGTTAGTGTTGCTGCCTCACAGCACCAGGGACCTGGCTTCAATTCCAGCCTCAGGCAACTGTTTGTGTGGAGTTTGCACATGCTCTCTGTGTCTGTGTGGGTTTCCTCTGGGTGCTCCAGTTTCCTCCCACGGTGCAAAGATGTGCAGGTCAGGTGGATTAGCCATGGTAAACTACCCACAGTGCAGGCTAGGTGGGTTAGCCATGGGAAATGCAGGGTTACAGGGATAGTGTAGGGACGGTAGGTCTGGGTGGGATGTTCTTCAGAGGGTTAGTGTGGACTTGATGGGCTGAATTGCCTGCTTCAACACTGTAGGGAATCTATGAAAAGATCTTAGTGAAAACTTGTAGCTCGGGTTGTAGATGCAGTTGTTTGTTTGCTCGCTGAGCCTGTTGTTCTGTGATGTGCGGACATTTAGTTACCATTCTAGGCAACATCAGGCAACCGACAGTAAACAGGAGTATTGTGATATACAGAATCCCATGCCGGGAGTGCAATAAACATTCCATTGGATAAACAGGGAGGAAACTGATGATCAGGATACATGAACACCAGCTGGCGGTAAAAAGACACGACTAGTATTCACTTGTCTCAATACACGCAGACAATGAGGGCCATCAGTTCAACTGGGACAATGTGACTATACTGAGACAAGTGAACAACAGGCGTGCAAGGGAATTTCTGGTGGCCTGGTTCTCAACACGGGACTCCACTAACAAACACATAGAAATAGACCCCATATACAGATAGCTGCTAAAAAAACAGAACCGGAAGTGACAAGACCCACCACATCAGATATCAATTTGAACAGAGCAGAACACCAACGCTTCGATTAGAGATCACGCTGATGATGTTGCCTAGAATGGTAACGAAACGTCAGCACACCACAGAACAACGGCTCGGCGAGCAAACAAACAACTGCATTCTATGAAAAGGAGGAGTGACAAGTACAAATTTCCAATGCAGAGTGGTGACTCCTGTACCTAGGGAACTCTGTAAGGTTATAGTTAGAGCGTCTACAATTTGCTCCCCTATTTCTTTTAACACGCTTGGACGGAAACCAGAGGTCCCGGGGATTTGTCACTCTTTAATTTCATTAACTTCCCCATTACCAATGGTCCACTTACAATAAATTTATTTAATCCCTTTTCCAAATTCACTATTAATTTCTTTGGGACTTCTGGCAAGCTAATCTCCTTTTCTACCATAAATGCTGAGGCAAAATAATTATTTAACATGCCTGCCATTTCCTGATAGTCATTGGCAGCATCCCCACAATTTTAGATACTTTACTGTTCCTCAGTTCCACCCATTTGGTCTCCACAGAATGTTTTCCCTTAATTATATCCTCCCTCACCATTGAAGTGGAGGTGCCAGTGTTGGACTGGGGTGAACAAAGTCACAAGTCACATGACACCAGGTTATAGTCCAACCGGTTTATTTGAAATCACAAGCTTTCAGAGTGCTGTTCCTTCGTCATGTGAAGTGGACTTCCCCTAATGAAGGAGCAGCCCTCCTAAATCTTATGATTTCAGATAAATCTGTTGGACTATAACCTAGTGTCATGTGACTTCTGACTTTGCCTCACCATTGAAGTAATCTTGTTTTTAATTAGTAAGGCTACTCCACCTCCTCTGTCATTTACCCTGTCTGTTCTGTAAACTTTATAACTTGGTATATTTAGTTCCCAATCTTAACCATCCTGCAGCCATGTCTCAGCAGTGGTAGCTGTATCATGATCTCCAATTTAAATTTGTGCCTGCAGCTCATTTAATTTATTCCTCACACTACATGCATTTGTATTTAGAATTGTTATTTGGGCCGTACACTGTAGCCTGTCCCTCAGCAGTGATGCTTTATTCACGTGTTATTTGTTATTTCTCTCTTTCGGTTTAATCAATACACTTCTTATAGTTTTGCCATTATCTATGTCCCTGAAGTATCTAGTGTGCTAAGGATAAATTGAGTTTATGCAGTTTTTTTTTACGCTTGTTTAAAAAGTATTGTGCTGGAAGCAAGCTCTGTCTCCAGAGCTGACCATACCCACAGGTGAATTTATCAATATTTATCAATATTAAGAATTTCTGCATATTCCACCCATTTATGGTTTTCTGAGGGGCTTCCATAAAATTAAGATGAATCTTTTAGATGTAAGAACACCAACAGGTAAGTCTTAAAAGCTTATGAATATATTTTTCTTAATTTACTATGAAGTGGGCTACTGTCTCCCAATGTCACTAGCGAATGGTTCTGTACACATTAAATTTCTTTTATGATAGTTTAAAATCAGGTTACTTGTAGATGATCAGGAGACACTGTGATTAATGTTGCTTATTTTATTTGTGGTAAGCCTATTTTTAGCTGCATTGATCAGATTGCATTGATCAAATAAGCACTCTTGAATGTGTTAAGGGATATTTGTAAAACCAAAATTTGCAGTTATGCTAATTCATGGCATGTTTTGCATTTGAAAATATGCAACCAAATTTGAGAAAAGCAACCTCATTTTAAAACTTGCACAAATTAGTATGGGATTTTTTTTTCCCCAATTGTGCTTGAAGCAGATATTCTATCCCTGTAATATTCAAAGTGTTCTTTGGTTTATTGAGCAATTTACAAAGTGCAACAAAACAACTAAACAAATGTATATTGATGGCAATAGAAAGTCGTTGTTTGCTGAGCATATTTAAATAATTCTCCTTAAATCCAATTTTATTTAAATACCCATTCATAAAATATAATTTCTTCTCCTTCAGGGATTGTATAACTCAATAAAAAATGAAAAGCTGGAGTGGGCTGTGTAAGTACAACTTTTACTTTGTGACCCAAAAACATTCTAATTACTTGTGTTGTAAATTATCATAAGAATTGTGTAAGTCTTTCAGGCACTCTATAAATATTTTTGCTTTCACAGTAACAGTGATGAACCCTACAAACTGGTTCTCTTGCCTATGGAACATGTCATCTGAAACCTGTCCCTTGAATGCAGGATGATGTCAGCTCATATTAGCTCTCTACAAGAGTGATTTGGCTGATCCTCTCTGACGTTTTCCTCTAACCCTGCATTGTTTTACTCTTCAGGTTCTTATGAAATTCGTCTTTGAAAGCTACCCTTTAAATTACCTCTACAACCCTTTCAGGCATTCCAGATCCTAGCCACACAATACATGAATAATGTTACTTCTCATGGTATGCTTTGGTTATTTTGTTAAACACTTTACATCAATATCTATAACTTCTCAGCTCTTCTGACAAAAAGAGCAATTTCTCTCTCTCTTTGATCAGCCCTCTATTACTTCCCTTTCTGACCTACTGTTCAACCTCTGAGCTACCTTAGTAACTGAAATCATCATCACCGGAACCATTATCAGAATTTTTTTCCACACCCGTCTAAAGTATTCCTTCCTAGGATACAAAATTAGATATAGGACTTCAGTTGAGACTAAAACAGAGTTTTGTATATATTCACCATAATTTTCTTGTTTTGTATTCTATATCTTTATTTATTTATAAATCCCAGGATTATGAACACAGTTTTCACCACGTTCTCAACTTGCCCTGTCAACATCAACAATCACCATACATATTCCCAGGTCCCTCTGTTCCTTCCTCCCCATTAAAGTTGTAACCTTTTTTGATATTGCCCGTTCTCTTTCTCCCTACCAACATCTGACACTTGAAAACTTCAGAGCACTAAATAAGTGCACTAACTATGTGTCCATTCAACCAGGCCATGTATGCCCTGTTGAAGTCTATTACTTCCTAATCTCAGGTCACAATACTTCCACATTTTGTGCCATTTGCAAATTTTGCAATTGTACACTGTCACCCAAATATAAGTCATGAATATCCATATTGAAACGCCATGGCCCACATACTGATCTCTGGGTTCTGTGTATATATAATATGTGTATTCCATCAGTACAAAAACCAACCATTTACCACTATTCTTTGTTACTTATCAGTCAGCCAACTTTATGTCTAGGCGTTTACTGTCCTGCTTATTCCATGGGCTTCAACTCTGGTGGTAAACCTATTATGTTGCACTCTCCCAGATGCCTTTTTAAGTCCATATAGATCTTATCAACCGCATTAGCCTTATCAGCTCTCACTTCATGAAAAACTCAGTCAAATTGGTTTTTGCAACCTGCTTTTGACAAATCCATTATAGCTTTACTTAATTAATGTACATGTGTCCAAGTGGCTGTTAACTTTGTATCTGATTATTGTTTTTCTCTATTTCCAACCACTGAGAGTAAACTGAATAGCCTGCTGTTGCTTCTATGCAGGCCTTACGTACCTTTTTGAAAATTGTGTAAAATTGCAACCCTTATGTCCTTATTGTGAGTTTAGAGTCATTCAGCACACAAACTGACCCTTTGATCCAACTTGTCCATGCTGACCAGATATCCCTATTATCAGTTGTAAACAATCTCTATTTATTAGGCCATCAAATGACTTAATTTTGCCAGTTGACATCATTACACAAATCCGCTATACTTTTTTGTATCCTGCCAGACTCAGTTTCATGAGATCTCACCCTCATTATATTTACGTACTGATTTTGTGATTCGTGGTACTCATTTTGTTAGACACGTGAGCCAGGAAATTCCTTTGATCTGCTCATACCATGCCAGTATTATGTAGCCAGAGGTGTAGCAGAGATCCTGTTTGCATAATGTAAAATTTCATTATAATTGCAGATCCAATTTGAATTAAAATGTATAATTACCAGTTGGTGTAAATTATGGTAATGTAATCATTTCATGTTCAAGTATGTTTATCATAGGAAAATAAGACAGTTCTAAACTTCTTCTTCAATAAAAGTGATTGGTGCTTCCACTCTTCTTTTGAAGAGATGAAGATGAGTTGAGAAAATCCCTGTCTGAGCTTGTGGATGATAAATGCGAAAGTTGTCCAAAGAAAGTGACCAGAATCATTGATAGCAGTAATCCCTTCCTCGACATCCCTCAGGCACTGAATGCAGCAACCTACAAACATGGAGTTCTCAATCGTAAAACACATGCAGATATGGATGGAAAGAGAAGTAAGTATTTTCCAATTGAATCAGAGATAGTAGGAAGTGCAGATGCTGGAGAATCCGAGACAACAAGGTGCAGGGCTGGATGAACACAGCAGGCCAAACAGCATCATAGGAGCAGAGAGGCTGACATTTCGGGCCTAGACCCTTC